CTCAATTTAGATGGGAAAAGAAATTAGGCTAAAAGCTCTAAAACCAGGAGAGGGGTCACAAATGCTGCCATTACCAATTATAGCTGCGCAGGCAAAGAAAAGAGGGTCAAACAGACAGTAATTATAACAAAGAAAACTAAATTTCCATTGTACTCAGCACACTCTAGCCAACAAGGAACAGGGCACCAGGCAATGGGAAATTAAAACGAATATGGTGCAAAAGCTCATAGGTCTGTGCCATACACACAAACTGCACGTGAGACAAAAGGAGTAACAGAGCATTGGATGATGCCAGCATATATAGCTTCTTAGTGGTCATCCTGTGTGTCACAGGTGTAACTATATTGGGAAAATTAATCAAACATTGCATGCTTAAAATGAACATTCATTGCTTTCAGCACGGCCCTCTTGTGGTCTGTATGGCAATGACAGTTATATTCAACTGCTAAGAATATTCTGGAAAACTTTGCTTAGATTGCCTACTTAATTCATAAAGTGAATCAAATGTACAGAATTATTACACACATCCATTCTTTTAGTTTATTGTGCAGTTATGGTGATGGCTGAAAAGAGAAGCTCATTTTGTTCAATTGCATGGTGTGTGTAATGACTGCAAAACAATTCAACCATCTCATCCTGTTTTGTTGCCGTTGCAGGCTTTAGGGGGACTGTCCTATCAAGCTTTATACCAAAGGATCCTCTCTGCATCCTCCTCTGCTCAGGCACAGATCACCTGTTTTGCTGCTGCTGTGACAGTTTTTATCATGGGAATTCCCTCAGTTGTCATTGGAGTAATGGCTGCTGCTGCAGGTATTTTGTCACACCAGTACATCAAAAAGCAGTGCATGTTTTTACACTTTTAGTCCCTTTTAGTCCCAGCGTGTTGGTCTAGTGGTTAGAGCAGTGCGCTTGTGCTCTTAAAAGGTTGCAAGTACCAGGTCCGATCCCCAAAGCCTGCACTCTGGGTTCCTGAGCAAAACTCTTAACTCCGCCCTGCCTCCCGGATGCCAAACAATGACAGCCCACTGCTCCCCAAGGGGATGGGTTAAATGTAGACATTGAATTTCCCCAATGTGAGACAATAAAGGGATTTACATTATTTTTTATGTCTATAGAGTTTTTGAATCATATTGTTTTAATACAACCTGAAATTGAAATATGTGAAACTTAGCCCAATTATTTTTAAGGTTAAAATGTATGCATTACCTCATAATTTTTTTCAATTGTAATTGCTGTTATTGGAAATATTCACTCATTTTCCATTTTTGTAATTTTTCATTATTTTTCTTAATTTTTTTCTTTTCTTTTTATTATTATTTTTGGAAATGCTAAAAAAAAAAAAAAAATCCTTTAAGGTTTCAATTTCTATCTCATGTCCTCCACCTCTGTATCATCTTCTCCTTTTCTCTAAGACTGGAACCAGACTGATTACGGTCTCCCTCCTCCGTTTGAACGCGGAGATGCAGGGAAGATCCTGCCTCTGGCTCTGCAGCACCTCACACCCACCTGGGTGGCAGTGTTAGGCATTGGTTCTGTGGCTGCAGCTGTTATGTCCTCCATGGACTC